TGATCCCTCGACATCGGATTCTGATGTTGGGTTATCGTAGTTCGTAACCTTGATGCGATCTTGTGGCGGTGTTACTTGGGAGTCCAGCGCGGAGGGTTCAACCCTCTGTTGCGAAATGGATCCCCAGAGCTCAGGTCGCACGGTGCGATCCTGGTACGAGAGTAACTTGATTAAGTCTAGTTGAGATTTCCGCTCTTTATACTTTTCCGTGATGAACTCCCGCAGTTCGTCATCGCCATACCGCAAAGTTTCCCATATTGCGGTCGGATAGCATTTAATGTCGTGGCGAATGAAGTACGATAGAATATCTTTCCTCCGATACTTTACAGAATAGGCAATCGCATTGGCGGGAAGTCGAGCGATAGTCGTATTTATGTTTTCTTTGAAGATATCGATCCCTTTCTCTAGTAGATAGCAGACCGTGTGCAAATCGTCTCGTCTTATAGCGTCGTGGAGCCGTGTATCGTCATCATCTGATTGGGTTGGCGAGGGTAACTCGGCGACGAATGATACACGACCTTTTCGTGGTTTTCTTGGTGCCGAATCCGATAAATATCCGTTAGGCTCGCCTATGGAGATTTCGGGAATAGAAAGAGTACTGTAGCTTTCGGGAGGCGGACTGGGCGCTTCTTCAACTTCAGGAACGACTGGCGCTGCCGTATCTGTTGCAATATGGTCGGGAGTATGCTCAGGCTGCAATGTATTGAAATAAGTATCGCCGCCATGGATATTTGGTTCATCTAGTTTTGCGACCGAGTTTGGGGACTTATTGCCCGCGGATTCCAGAGTCATGGTTTCTGTATATATCGCACGCTGTTCCAGCGTCGAATTTTCTTTATGTGTACCAGGTATCTGCGCCTCGATCGCTGTTGGTTCCGTATACCCCCCAAGCTCGCCCGAAAGGGTTAACCCCGGCCATCTGATCACTCTTGACGCGATAGCCGGCTTGTAGGTGGGATGTTTCGGAACGGTTTCTGTATGGGACTGGAAAAACATCAACTTTTCGTCGACGATACATACTTCCTTAGTCTGTGGGGTTTGAGGTTGAGGGGTTCCATCGACCGAGTGCTGTTCTTCCTCGACATGCGGTATATCTCCAAGCGGTTCTTTAAACGAGACATCCCAGTTGTAAAGGGACGGAACGGCGGTGTGAGCCGATGAAAACCCGTCTGTTGTGGAACTCAAGGTGGGCGATCTTGGCAGGGGACCGGTATCGATATCGCCTGATTGTATTCCATCGTTTAAGTTTACCGTTGGTTGGATGTGTGAGTTTCCAAGGATCTTTCGAACTAATTCTTGTCGAAATCCAGGATCTCTTGTCCGGAGGACTGATGCGGCAAACACCCCTCTGATGTCGTCGACAGATAGATGGTCCGCGGTTTCGCCGACAAACGGTTTTCCCGCTTCATATATACAGAGAGCGCACTCGAGAAGGGAGTCTAAGCTATCTTGAGCTATGAAGGACTGCTTTTCATCAAATGGTGAGTCGGATGCGGGCGCGAGTCGTTCGGCGAGCCAGCTTTCTAGCTTTTGTGAAAAGGATGCGATGTCAAGATTATGGTCGGGGTTGGGTTCGGCGACGCAATACGTCCCCGCAATATCGCGATGATCCGATTCTTTGGTGTAAACGGGGAGGAAATGTTGGTTTGCGATATTAATCTGAGATGGTAAATTCAAATCGTCTTCCGAAGAGGATGCCGAACCGATGTGAGACCGCGAAAAAGCTTTCGGTTTTTGTTTCAAGCTGCGAAGTTGGAGAGAGGAGACCGGATACTCATAGCCTTCCTTTCGCTTCTTGGGGAAACGATCAAGAATACCACGTCCGAAGGATACGAGGGTGAGCATGGTGGGGTTCTGCCTCTCGAGCTCTCAAAAGCCGTGCGGGCTTACTTCAGTACTAGAGCCTGAGGGCCTGCATCGCAGGCTGAAAGCATGTCGGTCGAATCGAAAGCTATTATATGATGCGGCGGTGAAGCGATCTGAAGGATAAAGACGACTGGAAGATGGGCTTTCGTGGTAGTTGATTGATTAATCAAGTATGAACGGAGATACCTTTGCTTAAACCAGTTATTTTATTGCGGCTTTGGTGAAGGATGGCCAGCTCAGATACTAGTTATAAATACGTCCTTGATGGGGTTTTCCTCAGCCTTGCATTGATTGCATTGGGGACGATTTCATAGCGGGGGGCACAAATTGGATGGCAAATTAATGTGCACTCCACCTCCCCTGCGATATTGACTACCAGTGCGGAGGAAAAACTGACGGCGCGCTCATGATTAACAGGAGGAATATGATATCGGTTGAGAATAGAAGCCGTAATCAAGCCTTTTTTGTCTGTGGCTAGGCCTGCAGCCTGATGCCACAAGATCTTGCAAAATAGATGTTATATCCAGTGGAAAAAATGGGAGGCCAGTGGCTGGTCAGGGCCTGTCCTAAAAAGAGGGCAGCGCGAGCTCTACCATGGAGAAAATCTCTTGGAATGCATGGCATATTAAAATTAGTACTCTAGATCTTGTGTGAAGCCGGGTGCGCTCAAGCTTTGGCTCTCTGGAACCGGCATGTTAGCGATTCCATCATGATATCAGGTTTCCATTCCTGCCCGGTTGTTGAATAAATTGAAACTGAATTCATGAAGCTGGAGGCGGTTTGTCGCTGGGTCTAGATGTCCAGGCCAGGCTTAGCTTAGCCCGCGCCCGGCTTGTCAGGATCCTTCGATGTCGACGGGGAAGCATCGCATGCTCCATTCTGACCAATGACGATGACCCTTCTCAGCGAAACCGTCTTGGCATTCTAGCAAAGTGCTCATCGACCTGACAGGGGTGTCATGATGGTGTGTGAACCCGAATGATCAAGGTTCTCAAGCTTCGAAATTCAGAATTTGCTATGTAGATGCTTCGAAGCGCGGAAGGAGTATTAATATATGAGCTAGCTGTTCCCCAAAATAAAATGAAAAATTACTTTCGAGATATATTTTATAAAATTACATTTTAGACCTCGAAAACTATCGATTCTTCCCGATTATTTGATTTACCAGACTAGTCTACTGTCTGTCGACATTTCGATTCGCAAGACTCGTTGGAATAAATTCCAAACGGCGACACTTTCGGATGAGTCGAGTCATCCAAGTTTCAGGCGAACCCCCAGACCTTTGGGGTTTGCGAGCTTAAGTGCGGCTCCCAACTAGCTTTGCTGCTATGCGCAGCACCCGGGGTTTCCTAGCTATCGAGTGCTAGATAACCCGGAAATTACTTTCGTAACTCCAGAAAAAGGACTGTGTGCAAAGGTCTCAGCTAAGCTTCACCTCCTGGAGGCCTGGGCAATATTACTAAGTAACAGATATCTAGATGCATCGATGAGACAGCTCTCCTACAATCCGCTAAAATTTAACTTAGCTACGAACTCTTCGACTCGCATGTCGACGTCCAAGGCGCAACAAAAGGCAGGGAAAACTTTTGTGCGGGTTTGCGGGCGACATTACGGAACAACAATAAGCCCCGACGTATCCATTTTTTGTAGCCTCGGAGCTTGGTTTTTTCTGGTGACCAAGGTACCAACGGCTGACATCATATAAATGAGGAAATCCATAGCTGGTGCTAAGGATAACTAGTAAGTCTCTCGTCCCCATCGGCTTTAGCATCGCGGGCTCGCACAATTCCGCCCGCAGTGCTATTCTGCGGGCCCCTTTTTCCTTTCTTTATCTACTATCCTAATGTAATTCTGCCCAGCAGTTAGACCAGGGGGGCACTGCTATACAGCTATACAGCGATGTAGCTAGCTGGCTGCCCCACTGATTAGCCTCGCTTTGCGACCAAACCCAAGGAAAACCATCGCGCTATAGCTTTGCACAACCTGAATATAAAAAGTTCAATGAGTCCGATGTCCTATTTTTCGACCTGGAACGGGGGCCACCGCAAAATAGCTTTGCTAGCCAATATTTTTGTTTTCTTTACTCCTTTTTCTCCAGTATACCTTACTTACTACCTTTCTGCTGCGCAATATTGCGCCGGCCTTCGAGCTCACAACAGCGACCATGTTGTGGATATTGAGGACAAAATATAAATACTGCCTGGGAGCTGTCTCGTTCGCTGTGCCTTTTCCAAAGTTGCTCCCTATAGACTTCGACTCTTAGAATAAACCATCATTGCGATTATCCTCATATCGTGGTATTCCAAAAAGCTTTCTTGTCTTCTTACCTACAAGAACTTAACTTCTCTACGATTTCGCCAGGCTCGTCCCGTTCGCCTGAGCACTTACGCGGTTTGCCCTTTTGGACCGCCCAACACACAATTATATATATATCAAGATGACTGCTCCTGTCACTATTCCTCAGTCGCATCGTCGCACTGGTTCCCGTTCTAAGAATCAAGACGATGTCCCCGAATCCCCCACTCTCGATCTCGGCGCAGGATATCCATCCAGCATCCCCAAGGCTGGCCATGAGAATACCGATGTCGACTGGTCGCATCTCAAAGACTTCGTCAAGGAATACCCTCAGAAGGGTCGATATGCCCCAGTATATGGCAGTTCCCTTTTCTGGGATAAGGCCATGGAACAAAACTTCGCATCTCGCCAGTCCGGTGGTAAGTTTTTCTTTACTTCGCTCTCGCCCATTATAATTCACAGCGTAGATGTTAACAAGAGACAAACTTAATTATAGATGGCACATCACAAGCCCAGAACTTCTCCAGCGCCGCCAACCGTGGTTCGACAGTATACAGCCCATCACGCCGAGCCTAGCGACGAAACCTCCGTCTACCCTGTCGTCCTTCCTGCCATGAATAGTTTCTCAAGAACTATCCTATGCCACGGAAAACATTCCAACATCTCTTCTGTTGCAACTTCTGTGTTGGCCTGAAGTCCCTTCTCGCTTGTTCCTCTATCCATCCATCCATCATGCATCATCACTGGTCCTAAATTCAATCCTGGATCCTATTCGGCAAATAGCATCTACCTCAATCATCAGGAGCCTTCATATACACACTATGAAACTACGCTTCCATGGTTTCATGGTGTAGTTGGTTATCACGCGACCTTAACAAGGCTCTTCTTGAGCACTGTCCGGTCGAGGTCTTGAGTTCGATCCTCAATGAAATCAAATATCTTTTTTTTTTTTTCTTGCCCTTTATATTTTTGCCCCTCACTTTTTTACTCCTTTGCCTTCTTGCACTTCAACATCCTTTCTCCATTTCCTAGTTTCATAACGGAGTTTTTGGCGCAATTCAATATATACGAGCATCTTGTATCAAATAGCATCTCGCTTGACACAGGCGTCATGGAGTCCGGTGTCTTCTTCTTCTTTTTTTCCATTGCCTCGGTGTTCACTGTATTTATTTATTCATTGGGGTTTCGAGAAGAGTCAAACAGACATTATCTTTTGTAACGATACTAGAAAGAAACAATTTCAACTACAGCGTTAACTAAAAAAAAAAAAGGGCTTAATCTTATAGCTAAATACAAGTGTACAAGAAGAAAAGTATACGGTCCAAATTATGTACTAAGTGAATGGAAAGTAAACGGTAATGAACTAAAAAAAAAAAAAGTAAAGTGAGGAATATTATGAGGTGATACTTTGTGAAAGGGTAAAAAAAAAAGACAACGTTAACGTCAAGACGGCAGCTGTGAACGCTAAAGGGGGGAAAATTAAAAAGGAAGGATACCGAGCTCGTATCAGCCAAACACCAAACATCATTAGTGCAAGAGAACAACTGGGGATCCTGCAAGTAGACATTACTTTCTGACATTAAATTCGGCGGCAGCAAGCGCTGGAGCGTACGTACTGAAACTCAAAGTGAACAAAGGGAAAGGAAAACAAATGAAAAAAAACTAGTAACTTGATGTAATTGAGAGTTTGACACTCGTCGCCATGCGATCTCAATCTGGTAGCACTTCGTCTACTAGGTGTTACCGTCTAATATACGGACTATTCCTCGCGAACCCAGGGACCCCCAGGTCATCCTCATCGTCATCCTCGTCATCATCGACGATACTCTCCCTGTTGATTTGTGGGCTAGTGAGAGCGTTGGCTATATCCTCATCTTCCTCGACAAAGTATTGCTGCCCGGACATGCTGGACCCCACGTTGTCATTGGCGTCTTCATCGTACATGAAGGCGCTACTCTTCTCGCTCCGCTCGCTCCTTTGGCTGGAGTGACTCGGCGCCCTCTGCCTAATTCTCGACGAACTAGCGGTAGCTGTAAGAGTCGATGTCGAACTGCTGAGTGATGAAGGAGGATGGGGGGATGCTGTCTCGACACCCCCTCTACCTGTCAATCCCGCAAACCTATCCTTCGCAAGAGTTGACGCTAGTGCCGCTGGCTTGCTCAACGAAATCGGCGGCGTTAGCAGCCCCGTCAAGAAGTTCTGTCTCGAGGTTGGTCTGGATGGTGGCTGTTGTACACTCCCTTGTTCCGACGCCTCCCTCGCCATTGCTGACGACGGCGCCGAAACCGAAACGTAGCCAGGGTCATCGTATTTCGCCTTTCCCTTCCTCAGGCCTCCGAGGGCACCACTAAGACCCCGATTGGCGATCCCATACAGACTACTAACGGTGGTCGTCGGAACTTGCTCAGTGGACGCGCTCAGCGCCGCGTTGCGCTCTCTTTCTTGCTGCTCCATTTCGAGATTGGCCTTCAGCCTGATCGCAGCATTACGCACGGTGACCTTATCAAACTGTGGTTTGCCGAGCTGACGGACAATCTCTTCGAGTTCACCGATACGAACGCTGAGGAGCTCGCGCAGGAAGACGTTTTCGTGCTCTACTTCTTTAGCGGCAGGTGACTTGCGAAGGCTTTCGATTTCCTCAGCTTGGGTTTCGATAGTGGCTTCCTTCTCATGGAGCTGTTCTTGGAGAACGGCAAGCGATTCGCGGAGAGCTTTGTTGTCGGCGGCGGATGGGGTGTTCTTGGTTTCAACGGTATAATGGGGGATGTGGTGGTGGTGGCCGGGTACCGGAGCCTTCGCACTCTGGGCAGCGATCACAGCAGCTTGTGCAGCCTTCTTCGCAATCTCCAGCTGGTTCTCCAGGATTTCGATCTTGTCGGTGTACACACTCTGTTGCGCTTGCTGGACCTCCATCTGCTCTTTCAAGAATACCCTTTCACGTTCGATATCCTCGATGGCGTTTTCGATGTCGCGCCTGTGCTTCTCCTTAAGGCCTTCAATCATATTCTCGTACCGCGCGTGCTGATCCTCGAGTTTCGCAGTGTTCTGGTGGGCTTCGTGTTGCATTGCGACTTCATGAGAACTCTTCATTTCTCGAATGAAGGCATCCTTGGAATCGATGGCCTCGTCATGCAGCATCTTCAACCTCTCCTTTGTAGTTTCGGCTTCCATCATAATCTTGCTGATCTCCGCCTCGAGGTTGACCTTCACACCCTCGGTTTCCGCACGCGTAGCCTCAAGCTGAGCCTGGAGCGCTAGAGTAACTCTGAGCGTATCTTGGTTGCTGCTATCTCTTTCTGTCACCACAGCCCGTTCCCGCTCGATAACTTCAGCCCTCAAGCGGTCTACCAGAGCCTCCATCTTCAGGTTATCTCGCCTGACTTGTTCAACCTCCACCCTCAACCTGATAGCCTCCCTCTCCTCATCCTGCATCCTCAACACGTCGGTTTCCATGCGTTCCTTCATCTTGAGCACGTGCTCGAGCTCGATCCTCAATCTGATTGCGTTCTTCTCCTCGGCCTCCAACCTCTTCATCTCATCTTCTCTGCTTTCTCGCATTCGCAATTCGGTATCAAGCCGAGTCTCAAGGGTCTGGATGCGGTTCTTCTGTAATTCATTTCGCTCTCTCCACCTCGCCTGTTTATTCTCCACTTCGGCAGCCGCCTTGATAACCTTATCTTGAAGATCTTCCAATCTCGTGTTAGACCCGTCGTGCAGCCGTCTCGACTCTTCAAGACTAGCTTCGAGCACCGGGATCGCCCGCCTAAGCTCTGCAGCTTCGGCAACCGCAGCCTCCATATCGGCAACGATCTTATCAGACTTGGCTTTGGCGTCGGCAAGCTGACCTTCCAAGTTCGCTTTGGCAACGGTCAAATCTCCAACGGATTTCTGTAGGCTCGAATGGGCGCCCTCCAGCAGAGCAGCTCTCATCTGTGCTTGAGTCAACGTTTTATTCCTCTTCTCCTCAACCTCTCTCCACTTCCTTTCCATCTCATCGGCTCTCTCTCTCGCTTCTCTCTCCTTCTCCGAAGAGGTATTCAGCCTCCTCTCGAGCTCAGAGATCGACTCTTGCAAGACTTTCTTGGAATTAACCTCGCCTTCCTGTGCCTTTCGTCCATCCTCCAAGGTCTTCTCCAGCGCCGAAATTCTCATCTGCAAGATTTCGATGGTTGCAGCAGCGCCTTCATCGACCTCATCTTCCTCTTCCTTTTTGGCGCTCTTCTCAATAGCCATGACCCTCTCTTCTTCCTTCCGCTGTTGCGCTTCCAAGAATGCCGTCATCATAACCTTGATCTCTTCCACTCCCTGGCTGTTATCAGGAACAGGCTCTGCAGGTTTCAAAGAGGCAGCAAATTCTCGAGTAGCAAGAGCATCCATAACAACACCCCTGATGCGCTCCAACTTCTTATCCTCCTTTCTCTTGCCAGGACTTCTCAAGACGTTACCACTATCGTCGTCAGCATCCTCTTCGTCATCCGCGTCGCTCCAAACACTTTCCCTCTTTACCATCCTCTTCCTCAATGGAGTGAAATCCTGCAAGACAGAGTAGATAGCACCCAGTTGCTTTTCTACAGGATCAAGTCTCTTTTCAAGAATTCCACCCACCACACTCTCAACTTGCGTATCGAAGAACGGAGCGCGAGAGCGCAGCTTAGAATCCTGGGTATCATTATCAGGTAGCAAAGAATCCCAATCACTATCCGGTTCGAGGGGATCGATTGTAGGTATTCCTCGCTCTGCTGGAGTCTGTGGTACATGCGTGGTGAAAGTATTGACCTTCTCTGGACTTGCCGGGCTAGGCGCATTGCTCCTCCCTTTGTTCTCGACTGGGTTTTGCTGCAAGGCCAACTTAGCTTTCTCAGGCGGAGGAATATATTCTGGTAGTGCTGGTGCCGGTTGAATACTCTCACTGCTACTAGAGGGAGAAGCCACAAACGCGGACTCGACGGGTGGGTTGAGTTGCACCTCCCTTTGCAGACCATCGGAATCCTCTTCCTCGGGGTGCAGCTCTTCATCTTCTTCCCCGTCGGCGGGTTCAGACACTACATTCTCCTGCGTGAACATAAAGTTAAAAGTATCGTTCAGCTCCTGAGCTGACGGCATTGGTAGTCTCTCCGCGATTGGTGCGGAAGAAAGTACAACTTGGTCGTTGTCCTTCTCGACTGCGCTCGCGAAAGTAAACTCAGCAGCTTCGGGATCGAACACAACCTCGCCCTTCGTACCTACTTCCTTCTCGTTGCTGGGCACAGGGACATCTTCCTTCTGCTTTCGCTCCATCAATGCTTGTCCGATGGCCAAATCTTCGAAATGCTGGTATTCCTGATCCGTCACACCGAAAACATCGCTCTTGGTTCGCTTTTCGTAGTGTTCGCTAGCGCTGGCGGGTCTGGCTTCTGCGAAGCTGGTGGCATCGGCGGAAATCTTGAAGAGGTATTTATCAGACTTGTTCACTTCCACACGGGTATCAGCCTCGTTGCCCACGTATGATTCCATCGTGCCTCCTCTGCTACTGCGTTCGAGAATTTCTGGGGCTGAAGACGGCGAGGAGGTAGTCGGTACTGGGGGAAGTTTGTCGTAAAATACGGTCTCTTTGTCATCTTCTTCGAACGCTCGTTTCGGTGAAGCGTTCTTTGCCCGTTCTTGCTCCTCTTCTAGATGTCGTCGTTCAATTTCTCGTTCCATCTCCCTCATTAATGGACCAGGTGAAGGTGCAAACATGGGAACGTCGTCTCCATCATCGCGGCCGTGGAAAAACCTGCCTTTCTTCCCGCCTCTATCATCGCGTAAAAAGCTGGGGCGCCCACTAACCCATCCGAGTTCTTCTTCGGTGTCTTCAGGGTCAAGCGGCTGAATGATGGGAATCTTCTTTGTTGTAGATGGCGGGGAGATGAAATCCTCAGTCCTGTAAGAGAAGATTGGAGTGGAATTGTTGGA